AGCTCAGGATTGTGCACAGTTGGGAAGGAGGGAGTAGTTTGCTGTTTGATCTTCCCTCTATCTCATCTCTCTCTAGCTCTTCCAAGGTCCAAATGGGTATTGGTGAGATAAGAGCAAGAGAGGCAAAAAATATCTCACATCAGGACTCCCACTTGGCTACTGTTGATAGACACACAATGCCTTCATTTTGATGGGGTCATCAGTTCTCTCCTGGGGCAAGTTTTTGGGTATTTTGGAGGACCTCCTCTGCCTATTACGTAAACTTCAGCCCCTCTCCCTCTTACTCTGCTCTTCTTCCTATTCTCAGTGCTGGCATGTTCCTTTCTGTCTCAGAACCTTTGTTCCCTCTGCCTGGGGTCCTCTCTCCCTAACTCTCTTTCTAGCTATATCTTAAATCAGCTCAGGCACAAATGCCTTTGAGAATCCTAACCTAAATGTTCAGCCCAGGGCAGGCCTTAATCATGCACTCTCCTAGCCCCTGCAGTGAGGATATTAATTGAGTAAATAGTTATTTAACATCTATCTTCCCAACTTAAATCTAAGTTCTATGAGGGCTTGATATATAAATATTTGTAGAAAGACAGAATAAATGGATTTTCCCAATAAACTCATGAGCACTTTGACATGCCAAGCAGATGGTAGGTATTCAATAATTATTTGTGGAACCGACAGGAAATTGAAGGCAGGAGCCATGACTATTGATCTCTGGATTCGCTATGGGACTTAGCACATAGTAGTACATAGGTATTCAACAAATACCTGGTACTTGAGTGTTTTTGACCCCTCTCATCAGAGTTAAACCAAAAAATGGGGATTTGGCTGCAATGTAGTCCTGACCTTCACTTTATGGCTGTTCCTCAGTGTCAGCAGAAGTGTTACTGCTATCTTTGCAAATATTTATGCCAGCCAGGACAGGGTACTGCCTTTAATCAGCTGAGTTGATATTCCATAGCCCAGGAGGAGCATGAATGTATGAAGGGATGTGGATAATGTTATCATACATCCAAAGAATGACAATTTTAACTATTTGTCCCTTTGTTCCCATTAGTACACTTGTACGTCTATCAGCTCAACCAATCCAATTCTTGGTTCCCTAAACAGGGTCACCATATGTGCCTTCAACCTGACTTGTATGGAGACTTGTTTTATTAGTCACAATTAGTTGCAGGTGCAAAGACTGAGGGCACAACTAACTGTGTCTGGAATCACCTCCTCACATATGCAATTAAACACTTGCACACTCAGAATTAGGTTCAAGTGGCTAATTGCACCCGGAAGTAGGTAATTGCAGGTGCAATTAGCTGCAAGTGCAATTTTTCACCCGAGACTAATTGCTCCCAAAGTAAGGAGATAGGGATTGGAAATTCAGCACTGAATGTATGTGTGGTTATTGCAACCACCTGTGATTTTAATAGACCTCCCTCTCCTGATTTCCAGTGTGGTGGCCTCCCTTTGGTCTTTAGGAAGAGTTGGGTTGCTTAACTCCTTCTGTGTATTTGTTCTATGGCATTTTCTTCTCCAGTTGGGTCTTCTTTTCCTTACTGAGACCCTCTTTCTTCAGAATTTGTTTCTTTTCTTTCTTCTGGAACCCCTGGCTATGTTCAAGGACACGTGCCCCTTTTCTGTTTAACTGTACATAAAACTCCTTATACTCTAAGTGAGAAAAGGTCAATGACTTGAACAGCTTGGTGGGTGGTAACTTCCAATTAGGTTTTGAACACAGTTCCTTGGGAAGTACCATTTGAACATGACAGATGAAAAGCTCTTCCCCACCCTTGGGGAGGAGGAGGTGGATCACTCCATCAAAACCCTGGAAACTTGTCTTCATGAATGGGCAGATTCCACTAGACACATTTTTTTTCCTACTAGTTTTTCTGATATCAGTAAGCGTCCAATCAGGAAGACACACACATATGATGATTATGAAATTAAAGCATCATTGGAAAAATAGGATGAGTCTTGGTTTAAACTTTATACAGTGAAACTAACCCAGGAAACCAAAACTGTTAATACTACTCCAAAGAATCTTTCGATCACATAAACATTATTAAGATGAGGAGTGGATCATGAGAGTTATTTTAGCAGGGAGAATTTAATAAAGGGAATTAATTAAACCAACATTAGCAGTTCAAAAAGGCTAAAAACGGAATCCTGAGGTACTTCAGAGATAGCTACTGTGGAAGCAGGTATGGCCCCATGGGCTGAAGAGGCAAAGGCAAAAGGCTGGGGTTGTTAGACACCGGCTACTTCCAGGAGGGTCCAGCACAGCAGAACACAGACGTCTGGGGCAGTTGCTCTGCAGCGTGGAGGAGGGATCACACAGAGCTGGGACCCAGAATTTGAAGGAGGGGCACTTTCAGAGTTTGAAGAAAAGACCCTGCAGGGCTGGGAACTGAGCCTAGAGGAGGCTGCCACCCAGCTGGTACTGCACTGCGGGCTCCCCTTTACAAAGAGCAAAACATGCCACAGGGTGTGTCCTAGATCCTGGGTCTGGTAGCCCTGGGTTGAATCAAACCAGGACAGAGCATGTTTTGACAGGAGAAGGGGAAGTGATGGCTGTAGGAAAGAAAAGGGCATGAAGTTAGTGAATCGGAGCCTTTGCAGGTGTGTGCTTTTGTGTGCATCTCCTTTTCTCCATGTCCAGAGTTTCCCTTTGTATGATTGATGGATTTTATCATAATGAAAATGTGTGTGTGTGTGTGTGTGTGTGTGTGTGTGTGTGTAAAGAGAGAGAGGGGGAATCTATCACAGCGAGCGCAAGCTGGTGGTGGTCTTAGCAGGTGTCCACGGCCAGCAGATTTCATTTCCTTATGGCTCACCTGGCTGGTTAAAATCCTCTTTCCTCTCCTGCTGCGAGAGCTCAGGGCCGCCTGAAGCCAACCTCCTGACTTCAGCAGAGTGCTGACTCCTCCACGTCCCTGCTTAGTCATTCAGAGGTGGGACAGGATCCCACTTGCTAAGCTGGTGGCAGCCTCAGCTGAATGCCAATCTGATGGGGCAGTCGATTCCTTTGAACTCCTTCTGGCGATGGAATCTGCCATTATCCAGGCTCTGTGGTGTGCGAGGACGAGTGACAAAGCCCCATGATGACAAGCAGAGATGACAGGAGAGCCGGGCGGCCGGCCTTTGACTTGGCCAGGGCACCTGGCGACGCTGCATCGCCCCAGACAGACTCTCTTGTTGCAGGCTCCGGCTGTGGGCTGTGAAGGTCACTCGGCACTTGCTGCCCACAGGAAGGCGGTGTTTACTCCGCCGCAGAGCCAGGCCCCTTAATGGATTGCTCTGGCTGAGCATTTCCCCTTGGCAAGGGGAGCAAATTTTCCTTTGCCCTTATCACCCTGCTTGGTTGCATTTTAGGTCTCAGGAGAGGGTACATAAATATTAGGGGAAGTTGGGTCACCTACCAGTGGTTTAGAATAAGAAAAACTTTTTTCTTTTCTTCTCAGGAAAATGGATAAAAGGGCATGATGGGAAAAGCTGGAAATTGAGGAAAGAAAAAAAGGACTTTAAAAATTCTGACTAGCCCATAATAGTCATGAGTAGTGTTTAAAGGTATTTCCCTACACCTCCCCTGGGTATAGTGCATCTACTCATTCATTCATCCCATAAATATTAGTTGAGTGCCTACTGTTGCCAGGGGGCTAGCTGAGACTCTGAATAAGAAAGATAAAAGTCTGGCTCCTTAGGGAGCATACAGTCTTGGCTGGGTTGGGAGGGGTGTCAAATATCTTGTACATTCGATTTCTTATCCTGTTGCCACTCATCAGTCTACCTCATGAGGGCCTCTTGTCACCCTATCATCTTTATACCCATTATTCTGATGATTGCACTTTACCAAGCCAAGGAAACAGAGTTCATTTAACCATGTCACGACTATCAGCTATAAGCTCTTTTCAGTTTCCACAGTTTTAAGTGAAGCTGCAATAAATATATTTGTATAAGGACATTTTTTTAAAAAAAAACTCTGGAGATCTTGGATGACTTCCTCCCTGACTGTATCTTTCACAGTATTAGGCAGAACTCTTGGTTGCAAACCATAAGTCTCCAAGGCTGGTTCATTTAAGAAGAGAAAGAATGTACTGGAAGGCAATTCTGTAGCTTACAGAATTGGCAGGAGGGTGGAGAACCAAGCTCAGAAAGGCAGCAAGGGGTTGGGAGGAATAGTCTAGCCCCCAAACCCCCCACCCTCCCAGAACAGGCTGTGAGGACTGTGCCCAAGGCCCTCCTCACTGCCTGGTACTCTCCTCTCCACTAGTATCACCAGGAGTTTCCTTCTTCCTTGAGCTTCCGTCTCATGCCCCAATTCCAGGTTCAGGGTGGGTGTGCTGGCTTGGCCAGTTGTGGGTCCAGCCTGATTCTCCGTCTCTAGGCAGTGAGGGGAAGGAATAGCTATCCTGTTGGCCTTCCAGGTGGGAGGCGAGTTTCTGCCTCTCATTTCTGACAGGAGGTTTGGGTCTTGGGAAGGAAAGAGGAGACATATCCAGCACCAACACATTCCTGTTCTTATTACCTGTGTGTTTACTGCAGGTGGGATGACTGAGGGTGGGGAGACATTGATTTTGCCTGCCACAGTACTAGGCACAAATACTGCTCAGCAGTGCAAGGGTATGAGTCCAGGGTGCCCCACACCTCCAACAGCCCCAGGGGTGCCCTGCTTAGGCACGGGGGGAAAAGAAGGTGAAATTCACATCCATTATCTCCATTTCATAGAAAAGGAAACGGGGGCTTTGAAAGGATCTGTGATTTACACTAGATCCCACAGCCAGCAACTCAGAGCCAGCTGGGACTTGATGATAGGTCTTCTGAAATACCCGAGGGTTGGTTAGACTTGTGTGACCTCCCCATGCTGGGCTGGTGACTGGTAAGAGGTGCCAGGAGCCATCCCCTCCCTGGGACAAAGGCCCTTTCAACAAAGAGGCCTTTGTAACAAGCCTCTCTTTGTTTGGCTACCAGGCTGTTCTCTGGAGTAATTAAGGCCCATAGTCCTTAGATATAAGGCTGCCTGACATCACTTGACAGTAATACAGCGGTCTCTCTAGGTGCCAAAGCTGTATTAGCAGTGCATGTCCTCCTGCTCCCAGACACCTAGGCACGAGCCATGAGGCTAGACTGCCGGGCCCCTCCTGCCTGGCCACTCCATGTAAGGGCAGGACCACATGTACTGGTCCTGCAGGATGGGGTGCTGGTGGCACCCTCCCAGGCAGTGCCAGGCAAGAAGACTGGCACGCAGCCCTGACTGCTGGGAAAATCTTTGGAAGCTGCTCATGGGCATCTGGCTTGCTGTTCTCTAGAGGAAGGTCACGGTCTTCTGAGGCTCTGTGGGTGTGAGTCAGACGCCGCCCCCCTGCATCTTGTCCCCCAGTGTGCAGTGCTCTGTCCCAATGTGGTAGTGAGTACTGCTTTCTCATTTGTCTTGGGAGACATTCTTCCTAGGTTCCCATAGGATCTTGGAAGCCATGATAGAAAACTGCTTGGTTTTTAGCCACTCTCTGAGAGTCTGTACCTTTATGTTAAAAACTCCTCATCTAGAGGAGAAAGGACAAGCTCCACTCACCCTAGGGGTAGGGAATTCGCCTTCCTTAGACTTGTCCCAGTGGGTACCTTGAGGAATACTAGACATAAATTTGGCCTTTGCCCTCACAAAGCTTCCATATTTCAAAGCCACCAGGATTCAGAGGGGATGAGAGAGAAGCCTCTGTCACTGCGGGCTGTGCCCCGTGTCATGGCCTTGCCAGGGCAGCCTGCCTCTGCTGGAGGCCTTCTCTCCAGCAGTTCCTGGACCTGGCCAAGGAGGGCTCCAAGGGTGTAAGTTAAGGTAGAATTTTGGCACTGGCAGAGTTAACATTTACAGGTTCGACTATTTGTGGGCGCCCTCATGACGTGAAATGACTTTCAATTTTGCTGAAGCGCACATTTCCATCTCGTGGGGTGGGTGAGTCACTCCACCACCGAGAACTCGTCACCACGGTTTCCGCAGCTTTGGGCCCTCAGTTCCTCATCACCAAAGGCAAGTGTGAAGGGTCTTTAAACGTCATCAGTGTTGGGGGTCTGCAGAATCACGAGGGGATTAGGCTGAGCGACCTGCAATGTGGTGGTACCTAGTATCTCAGCTCACCTCACGGCTTCCTCTCAGTGTGGGGTTCCACAGCACCAGAGGCTGGGGGGAAGGAGTGTCCTCCCCAGTGCACGCCATCTAGGGCTGCAGCATGTGCAGAGGATTTAAACCCAATAATAAAATCGACTATAAGTCAGTCTGCTTTTTATTATCCCCAGGCCAGCAATTCTAAACAATGTCAGTGATAAAATAATCCTCCCCCCACATTTTTTTTTTTTTGGTTCGCTTTCTAAACAGTTGCTGTGGTGACTGTTGAATTTTAATTGTATACTTACATATGTTTCTATACATGTTAACATATATGTATATTCAGATATACATATGTGCATATGCATCTGTATACACACACGCTTCAGACGTGAACATTTTAATTACTTATTCTTTAATAAATATCTTCTATGTGAAAGTTAATTTGAACTCCTTGTGAGGAAGAGTAGCTCTAGATGGTTCAAGCTGGCCTTAGAAGCCCGGCAGGTGTCTAAAGCCCCTGTGGCATTAGGTATGCTGGCATTTAAACAATTGATAAAGGGTGAGGGTGCTGTGATTACAAAACCAGGACAAAAATAATCTCAATTCAATTCTGTCATTCCCTCATGTGACCACTTGGAATTTAAATTTGTGTTTAAAACTTAGTAAATGCAAATTTTAGTTCATACATGAAATGTTTGCCTGAATAATATCCTTAAAATTAAATTTTTTTCCTTTAAAATTATTGTTTCTAAAGCTAATGAATGAATCACGAGATGAAGAATAAAGTCTGATTACCACTGAAAATAATTTTGTCTTATAGAGGCGGAGATTCAAAACATGACGCATTTGGGTGTCCAGTGGCCAGGCCTGCCACCACCTGTGCTGAGACAACAGGCATCATGCATCTCGTTGAGACAGGAGGGGATTATGGGTCAGGTATTAGTTGGCCTATACCGTTTTGGAAAGGCTAGGCATGCAGTTTAAGTTGGAGCTTCTAGAAATGATTCCCATTCCCAGAATGACCCTAACTCTGATGTGTCTGAGAACACCAAGTCTCCATGTCCACTGCAGGACCACTGTTTCTCCAGCGGAGTCAAGAGCTTATGCCCTGCTTCTCACCCACTTACCCGGGCTCCTGAGTGAACATCTGGGTGGAGGAACCCTAGAAGCAAAGGAACAATAGAAGCTTGTAGCTTTGAGTCTCATTTTCAGAGTGGGCAGCGCAGAAGGTCCCAGGGGGTGTTTGGAAGGGATGTTGAGTGAGCTAGTCCACAGCTTCCTCTACATCTTCCCACCATCTCTGCATTTGACCTTTGTCTACGGAGAACTAAGGACTCCCCTGTCTGACAGCCAGGCTCTTTGCTGCTGTCTTCTGGGTAAAGCAGCTGCCTCTGTAACCAAGCATTTCCTAAGCAGCCATTTCTGTGCTGTCCTCAACCCCTGGCTCCCCCGGAAGCTTCCCCACCTGGGCTCTTCAGAGTGGATCAGACTTCTGGCTGGTGTCCCACATATCTCTGAATCTTCACCTCAATTTTCAACCTTCTAGTGGGTTTGAGTTGCTCCCCAACACCCATAGCTCTCCTTCATGCCACCAGAATCTCCACTCCACTTGGGACATGTTTCTTTGTCATCATTTTTATTCCTTATTTTTTTTCCTTTTTAGATATACATAAAGTAGAGTGTATTTTGACATATTGCACATTTTTTAAAGTTGTAGATGGACACAATACCTTTTTTTTAAAAAAAATTATTTCAATGAGGTGCTGAGGCTTAAACCCAGTGCCCCACACATGCTGGGCAAACACTCTACCACTGAGCTACAACCCCAGCCCCATTTTTATTCTTTCACAATAACTTTACTCAGGGAATTTTTCTCAATACACATTGGGCCATTAAGTACAATTCTGTTCTCAAAGAGTTTTCACTATCATTCTCCTATCATTAAAAATGTTCTAACTGGCATCTACACTTGGTCTGTCAATCTCAACCCTCCTGCCCTTCTCAGGGGAAGTAGATGTTTGCTGGTGCTACTGACATCCAGGGACAGGCTTCATTATGACTGGTCTAATGGGTGGCATTTCAGGGAAGAGCAGGATGCAACCTTGGCCAGCAGGTACCAAGTGAGATCAGCCTCCTCTAGGAGGTTTGAATCCAGTGTCCTGCCCATAGCTCAGAGGACAGGGCTCACTGGGCAGCCACATCGCTGCTGAAAATCCTGCTCCAGAGATGGGGAGAAAATATCATGTGCGAATCTGTATCAGAACAGGCTGGCCTTTTTTTTCTGTTGAAGACTATTTTTTTTAAAAAGAGAGAGTGAGAAAGAGAATTTTTTAATATTTATTTTTTTTTAATTTTCGGCGGACACAACATCTTTGTTTGTATGTGTTGCTGAGGATCGAACCCGGGCTGCATGCATGCCAGGTGAGCATGCTACTGCTTGAGCCACATCCCCAGCCCCCTGTTGAAGACTCTTAACAGCTGTGAAATCATAGACCAGTCACTTAGCCTCTCTGAGAAGGATGTTTCTTAAAATGAAGATGGTTCTGGTGTGATGGGTTTGACAAAAGGTGTCACAGAAGAAGCAGGATGTAGAATTTGTGGCAATGGGGGATCTCCTTCCTGATTGTCCTTGGAGGAAATTCCTGTGATAACAGAGATTATCAAGATGGCAGGCTATTCCTCCCTCCACCCCACTCCGCCCCCTGCCATCATCAGGACTCAGACTCCTGAGTCCCTCCATTGAATGGAGCTGAGGGCCTGACAATGTCCGAGTTTCCTTCTCTGCCCACTAACTTCCACAGGTTCACACACTCATCTGAAGCCTTCCCCTTCTTTCTAGTAGCCTCCTGGTGGCAACTCTACTTTCTAAGAATGGGACAGAGCATCTGACCCATGACGCTTCACTGCACATGGGAAATCTCATTTCTTATTGATCTTGGGATGCTTTTCAGAAATCCATATGCTCTTGAATGCAGTTTTGCAGTGTCCTGTAAGGAGACACCACATGTGCAGCTCTATAAGCACATGCACGCATGTATACATACACATATATATTTGTGTATATATATATATATATATATATACACACACACACACACACACAAATAAGCACATACACTTGTATGTATGTATATAGAATACATGTACATTTATTATATATATATATATATATATATATATATATATATATATATATATATATATATGTAGAATTTATTTCTTCCTGGGTTTTCATTCAGTGGAGTAACAAGACATCTTGCTGGTGCCTCCGACAAACCAGAAAGGGAAACACAGTGAAGATGAGACTCTTTTCCAGAGATGCAGCTAATTCCAACCAGCACATTAAGATTCTGAAGTTAAGAGCACATTGTAAAATGTGAATCGATGTGACATTGTCAAACAAAATGACCTGTGGGCTTGGGAGGTTGGAGCTTGTAGGAAGAGGCCAAAGTGTGCATCTTAATCTTGATTTCCTTTGGGACTGTTTCCACCATTGTGTTCCTGACTCTGATTATGTTCTTGTGCAATCAAACTAACTCTAGTCCCCAGGGTTGGACAGCTCCTTTTTCTTTCTGTCTCTCTCTCTTTCTTTTATTTAGCCAGGACCTGGTATGATTGCTGTTTTGTTTGGGTTTTGTTTTGATCAGAAACAACGGTTTCGTTTCTGAGTTATGAGCATACATGTGTTCACAAAATCCCATCCAAATAGAAGGAAAAGGATTGGATTAAAAGTCCTGCTTGGTGGATAAACAATTTAATGCACAGGAGCCTTGGAAAGCCATTTTAGCAATCAGGGGTTTGACCTCAAAAATGCCACAAACAATCCAGTAGGTAAGCACAGATTTCTTCATTTATATCCATAATCTTAGGATATATCAAACCTTTAACCTTAAGAAAATTTCAGAGGGAATTTGTATTTAACGCCAAGCTTATCCTTGGCTTGGTTTCAACTGTATAGTAGAGATTGGGCAAGCTGGATAATAATAGAGATTCTGAATTCCAAGACAGGGTCTGTCTTCCCTACCTTTTTCTCCCCGTCCACACACGATCTGGAAACTTCTCTGCTGCATATCAGCTTAGCTATTTTATTTGGGGATCTTGAACACAGTATAGTATTTAGAGTTTCCATCTATCTCCATATCTGGACTTCACTTAGACTCTCCCTAAGCTCTCTTTCAATTTCTTTGCTATGTACTTCAGTGAACTGCAAACAAACAGATCATTTTCCTGATGGTGATAAAGTCGGTAATAGACTTTACTTCATTGCCTAGTGCCCTTCAGATATGCTTGCTACAAAACTCCTC